TATGTAACTGACATATTTATGTCTTTTTATATTTTGATTATATTTGACTTTGTACTTGAGTATGGTCTTTAATTGTACTTTTGATGTTTCCTTCTGTATTTTCTTGTTTGTGTTCCTTTGTACATTTGAACTACACTACTTGGGCTGCTACTGTACTTATGGGTTTTAATAAAGAATAAAGAGTTTATCATTGTTAAAAAAAAACCATTGACTAGGATAAAGATTTCCCATACGAATAGAATATACGAATGGTACTGGCTAAAAGACAACTTGATTTCTGGCTTCGATCAAGGTATCCATTCGTAGAAGTCTTATGAGGATAAGCCTATCCAGTAGTGACATTAAAGGGTCGGGACCAGGACATACCTTCGACTTTAGATTGACAAAGATTGAGATATCTTAAATAGACACAATGCATACACAGGCCTAGTTCTAGAGTCCAGTTAAAATATGTAATAATGTTTTTGTGAATTTTCTTTCCTTATAGTTAATCCATGTTAAGTCTGAAGTAAAAACAACATTTACTTATAAAAAATTGACACTGGATTAACTAAAGGAAAGAAAATTCACAAATAATTTACTGAATCCGGAATGAATTTATTCCCTATGATGTAATATTGTATTGGATGACATATAATCATATTTTTTACCTAAACATTAATATGCGTCAATATTTATTAATAGTAAAATAAATTAGATTTAACGTAAATATGGAAGAAGCATGAAGAAAGAAGAATAGGGAAAAAACTCAGAGCAGCTGAAATATTTACCAAAAATAAACAATCATTTTGACAATATTGCATCATGTTTTTGTGAAAATCTTTTAGGCTCTAATCTTCAGAAGTCAAGGTGTCGGCATCCTACATGTTTCATACATTTCTTTATATGAAAAAGGGTGTAAAGCTTTTAGTAATGCTATAAAGGCCAAAAAAAAAAAAAAAAAAAAAAATTAGATGATTCTGAAGAATAAAAAAAAAAAATTAGATATTCTGAAGAATATGAATTTTGCCTTGAATGATAGTAGTAGTGCATATGAACAGGCTGAGAATATGCTAGGAATTGCGTTTAACGATAAAAACGCACCCACGGCAACACCCCCTGGCAAGACCCCCTGGCAGTGTATGACAGTTGCTTTTGAGTTCGTAAAAGATATAATAATAATAATAATAATAATAAGATATAACGCCTAATAGCCTAATAATGTATAATGCGAGTGTGCGTATAATAGAATAGTTTTAAGAATATATGAAAAATGTTGCATATATACAAAAGAAACTGTGTGCGATGTTTTATTTAAGATAAAATTGTATAAATAATAATAAAAAATATAATAATAAGTAATATAAGCATTTCTTTCATATTGACATACAAGTAGAAATCATGATTCTTAAACTTGGAAATCCTTGAACCACTATGTGCTACAAAAGGATTAAGACATTTTCATATTATAAATAGCATCCTGAAGAAGTTTGTTGCATAACAGGCTTTGTGTTCAATAAATTATATTTTATAAGTTTTTTTGACTGATTTAGTTCAATCAAATTATTTTTCAATAGTAAACTAATATTTTATGTTACTTACGCTAGCTTTCGTCTTGTTGTCAACAAGACTTCATCAGCTGAATGAGTTCAGTTTATTATTCACGACTACTCAGGTGTCCTATATTGGAATAATTCACTTCAGGGAGATCATATAGTTCAAATTTGTTTTCATGTACTTTATTTCAGTTTCTGGTTTTACTGCTTTTTCTTTGTAAGTATTTCAAGCTTTCTAGTCCTTATTTTTGTTGAAAGTAAAGTGATCAATGAAACCTCTAAGCTTGTAAAATAACATACTAGCTAAGAATCCATTGTCTACCCTTTCAAATGACTATATACAGTAGTTGACTTTTTCAAATTTTTCATCTGTCCACTTAAAGACTAAATGACACTTACAGCCAGCCAACTGTTGCCCATTTGGATCATCACAGGACTGCAGCTCTTCCAATGCTGGTCGTATCTTTCATCATTGATGTTGAATAGCGAGCTTCTAATTAAAAAATAATTAAAATCAAAAAAGTGCGCAACGCCTTTGATCATTGATTTGGAATTTACACTATATAAATCATTAGCATTACAGTATATTATTATTATTATTATTATTTGTAAAGTCATAAAATACATACATAAAAATGATATACAAAAAACCAACAAAATGAAAATAAACATGACCCTGATTACAAGGAAAAGCCGAAAATATGTACTGTAATGATGATTGGGTTTTCAGTATTAGGCTATGTCTCAAGTACAAACAATGCTCTATCAGAGCCAAATGAGAGGACAATTTCTTCAGGATATTTAAATTTTTAATAGCATTAAATGCATTATGTTTGGCTCGTAAATTAACATAACATGAACACAAGAGTGAAGAACTTCAAGGTAACTTACACGCACTGCTTGCACGTTTTCCTGGCTTGTAATTTTGTTTCACAGATTTATCCCACATCTCAATTCTTTCAACCTCAGTTTGAGTAGGTTCACCATCAGGATCAAGGTCAAGAGTCAGGTGGGCCTTACTTTACTGCTTCTGAACTAGATAGATGCAAATATAGAGAAAAGTGTTTACTGTTTGTAGACCTACTGTGCAGTGTGCTAAATACATCTGTATCTCTGTTTTGCCAGTATAATATTTTTAGTATTTTAATATAAAAGAAAACTACTTTTTTTTTGCATGGTTTATCATCCATGAATAATAAAATATAAATTATGAACACACAATATATAAACAAACAATTAATGGAATGCAAGTTGCATGCAAAATACTCTTTTGATTGGAAACCGTGTGCAGTGTTGATCAATATGACTGCATTGCCTTTAATAATGAGTTTAGAATATTTGTCAATTCTGTTTTATTTTAGATATAAAGCACTTTTAATTCCCCCAGGTCCACATGCTTGAATGTGGACCTGGTGTTGTTTCTGGTGGAAAGAAACCAACTGTGCAGATAAACTGCTTTATTCAAGGACACAAGCGAAATGCACAGCGAGGGATTGAAACTCTAACTAAAACTAAGATTGGCCTAAAACAATTAATAAAATAAAATAAAAATACACACGCTTGCTAAGGTACCCTACAAACACCAAAATTTATCCTTTACCAATAATTGCATATTAGTTTTGAGTATTATGCCATAATTTATTCAACATAACAGTATTGTTTATATAGTTTTGTAGTAGAACAATTTCAGGCAATTTGTTACTTATAAGTGAAAGTTTTTTTAAAGATAAAGTTGACTTTGTCCTGATCATGGATTCAACCCAACACCCTCTGAATATATTTTGAATATTCTATCAATTTGTGGTATCCTCCTTTGCATTTTCCAATTTGGAGCATTTGTTTTTTCAAGGTATTGCATAATATCCAGCAAACAATAAAGAAGTTGATGACAGTTTGGTATGAAGGAATACCTTGCCAGTCAAGCCATAGGTGATAAGGTTTTGAAAAAAAGAACATTGTCTCCATCTGGATTCAAACCCTAGACCCTCTATGAACTATGTGGATGCTCTATAAAATTACCATTTAAAATGTACACCTGATCCCCTAGCCTACCCCACCCTCTCCCCAACTCCACCCCCAAAATCATAAAACGATAAAAAGATGCTCTATTTACTTCTTTACTGTTATTCAATGCTTCAACTGAATTCCTGACGCTATTATAGAGGGCGCTATTGAGATCAGACTCATCATTCATGCTGTCATATGTGGACTGAAAACTCTGCTCAACTTGCTGGCTTTTAATTGGTTCATTTGAAACCAGTGAGTCCCTGCTTCTACTCACTATAGATTCCACTGTACATTCACTTGCAAAAGAATTTCTCTGACTTTCGAAGAAAACTTCTGAAACTGATGGCAGTACATTTTGCTGGAAGGAATATAAAAGAAAAAATTGATTTTACGAATAATATAACAACATGTAAACAGTGGGAGGCTATACAGGGTCAAAAAAGGGTGATATTTCAAATACCAAATGTACAAGCCTTACATGAGGCGTCTTCTTGTCCTGAATATTTTGGCACCTTTTAAAAGAAATTTGGTTGAAAAATGGGACAGTGAGGGCCAACAAACAAAATTAAGGGGGGAGGGGGAAAAATGACACCATGTTTTTGAGGTCAAGAAACTGATTAGTGGTGTCAGAAAATGTAAATATAGTGGTTACATTTTATATTTTATGTTTTGTTTTTTTTGGGCGTTACGGTAGGAGTACAAGTTACGTATTGTACAAAAAAAATATGCACAGTTTTTCCTTTTTTTTTTTCAATCAATAATCATTTTAGCAATGTCTATTTTCATTCTTCTTGTACTTTTCAAATCATAAAACATTTTAATGAGCATTAATTGTAGTGCTACATGTATCTTAGTTTTGATGATGTCTAATGTGCGTACAGTAACAACAACCATAGACATGCTGTGTAGAGTACAATCATCTTGCAACACACAGAAGGTTCAATTTCAGGGGTATTTGCTTATCTACTGAACACCAAGGGTAACCCTCCCACCCAGTCTGTGCACTTATTTTCAATGGTGTCCTTCAGGTGGTGATTGGTTAGTCCAGCAAGAGACCAACCTCAGTATTTTCCAAACAAGCGCATTCTTTACCATGCACATTGGACAGGGTTTAAACAACTCTTCTGAGAGGCACATTTCAGTCCTCTAGCTGAAACGCAAGGAAAGCAGCAGAGCGGATTATACAAATACGGTACATAAACACTAACAATCAATTTGTCTCCATATTACTGCACACAGAGTGGCTATCATCACTACTTTAGCTGATACTCGCATCTACAAATCTATTGTACGAAAAAAATATGCACAGTTCATTTTTCTTTCCATCAATAATCATTGTAGCAATTTCTATTTACATTCTTGTTGTACTTTTCAAATCATAAAACATTTTAGTTTAAAAATATCTTAGTTTTGATGACGTCTAATGTGCGTACAGTATCAACAACCATTAGACATGCTGTATGTAGAGTACAATCATTTTGCAACACACAGAAGGTTTAGCTGATACTCGCATCTACAAATCTACACAAAATTCTACAAAATATTATTAAATCCAGGGATCTCAGCGAGCAAGTTGTGTAGTATTTGTTATTCATTATATAATAAAAATATATATAATTTTCTAATTGTTTCATTGAGTGGATATAGCCTGTAGAAAAGCAAATGCCCCTCAAATGAGTGTTATTGATAAACCTTCCATGTGTTGCAACAATAATGGTTACACAGTATAGCATGTCTATAGTAGTCAATATTGTAGGCCTTTATCAGTCATCCAAAGTAAGATACAAGCTTAATGCTTGTTGAAATGCTTTGTAAATTTAATATCTGGTGGAGGTCATTGCTAATGCTACAATAATTAATGACAGAAAAAAAATTACATAGTATGGTACCTATTTTTTTATCCTAGAGTGTGTATCTTAAAGCATAAAATTAAAAAATGACCACTATAATTAATTTTTAAGCTATTTCTGACACCACTAATCAATTCCTTGGCCTCAAAAACATATTATAGACACTATTATATTACCAAAATGTGACTTCAGATAAAAAATTTGAGAACTTTTTCACACCTCAATTTCGTTTTTTGGCCCGCACTGTCCCATTTTTAACCGATTTTCTTAAAAAAGATGTCAAAATTTTCAAGACAATAGGCCACTTCATTATAGACCTGTTCATTTGCTATGTGAAATATCACACTTTTATAGTCCACCACTAATGTAAGTACAGTATACATCTCGGTCATTATTTAAATAAATTTTAAATGTTGTTATTAAATTTGTATTTTATTTAAAGTCGGTACATTTCTCCTGATCAGTGGCATATCTAGAAGTCTTGAAATGGGGGAAGGGGGAGCTAGGTCCTAAAATAAGGTAATATGAGGTGATTTTTAACTACTTGAGCGTGATGTTTTTGCTTTGGACATGGTGTGTGCCCCTCCCTATTCTCCCTAGATATGCCACTGCATTAGAAATTGATGACTTTTAATAAGCAATAGCAATTTAAGTGCTCGATCGTTAAGTGAGGAGGTGCTAGCTCACAATAATTAGGAGACTTAGCTGATTCCTTAGTCAATAAAAATAAAATTATACAGAATGTATGTCATGGTTGTATGAAAACATGCCAAAAACTCCTATTAAGGGGACAATTTTGGTTTTTGGTTTGTGTCTCCTGAAGTGATACCAACATTAAGGGGACACCCCTATAAAGGGAACACTTTTTCTGGTCCCGAAGGTGTCCCCATAACAGGGGTTCTACTTTAATAAGTTTAATACCAAAAAATCTGGATAAATCCGCAAACTGGATATTAAGAGAGAAAATTATTATAGTTGCCATCGTCTGAATCTATTTTGACTGCAGTACATTTTGACTACAGTTCAACCACAGTACAGTATATTTCAACCACACATGAGAACCACAGCAAGTGCTATTTCTGTTGAATTACTAATTTTTATATAGACATATAGTAGTACAGATTACCAATATTGACACTACAATTTACAGTTTTGTTTAATTTTTTACACCATACAGAAATACATTAAGGTGGCACACACTGCACTGATAGTCATCGGCCAGCGTGAGGAGGGGCGTCAAATAAATGTTTTTTTAATCTTATCCTTCTCAAACTGCCACAGACAATCAGCAGTCAGAGAGCAGAAATAGATTCGTTGACAGACTGTCGCAATGTTTGCTTGATAATAGTTGTAATAGCATTTTCATTTAGCAGTGAAAGGTAAAACATTCTGAGAATGACGTGCGCTGCTGTTCTGGGTATTTATTATGGCTATTTTTGCCACAGTAAGATTTTTACTGAAGTACACAGTACATACATTCGTTTTAAGACATGCTTTTCTTAACTGGCATGCATTTTTTTTTATTATGTCAGTTACAGTGTGTAGTAAAGATACAGGTAAAGTCTGTCCTGAAGACCATCATCCTAGACGAAGTATAAAGAAAAAGCGTAGACTCCACAAACCAGCAGTCTATACCTCACAGCTGTTTCAGTAATACAAATTAAGTCAAGCGCCCCCAACGGTTGAACGGCGCATGTGGAGCTATAATTCTCAAACAGTTACACGCGAATCCACGTGTGACGTACGGAAGTTTAATCGGGCATATAGTGCCATTTAAAAACCAACCAGTGACCTACAAAAGGATAGAGATCCGAATGAATGAATGATGAATATTCATTAGTATATCTGTTAAATGAGAAAGCATGTTGTTTTTCAACTTTCGAGAGTGAACGGCATGCTGATTTTGGTTGTCAAAGTTGGGCCAAATATGACAAGTTTTCATTAAATATCTCTTTCATCGACAGTGTAGAAATGTAAGTTTAATTTGCTGTTCCATATTTTGGTTAAATGTATTTTTCATGGGAATCCTGGTGAACAGTTTGGTAATTTAGATACTAGTGATTGTTAAAACATCAACATTTTTAGGCCGTGCTGGCTGAATTGTCTAATATGGCCGATTCAAATTATACCATTTTAAGGCCTAGTTAGGCCTATATTACTATTAGTGTTGCTGCTCCACGCGTATATTGCACTCAAA